GTGGGAGCTCGCTCATCCGCTTGACATGCGCTTTGTTGACCTGGAGGAAACCGATGACCAGGTCCCGCGACGGAAAATACGTGGGATCGATGGCCAGCTGCCACGTACACTCAGTCGCAATATGTTGACAGCAGGTGCGGTGTAAGAGTAAATGGCTCAAAGCAGACAGACACTTTTCAACGCAGGTACAGGTCCCGCAAGGTTTGCGTTCTATCTCATTTGTGCTGTACATGGGCGCAACAGTCAAACGCCGCCAGGGCGATGAGTGTATCATGGTAGGAGGCATGGAAACAAGAAGTTGGTAGTTGGCAGACGACGCTTCGGACCAAGTTCGGTCCGTTTTCAGAGTACAATGACAAAAGTCACGCAATGTTCTCATTCGGGTCTGGCTGACCCATATGATTAATGGTGCCATGTTTGCTTTCTAGTCTTAATCGGCCGCCTGAAGTCTGCGGCTTGGGGGTGGGCATATATACGTGTGTATGTGTTCGCGCGTGCGTGCGTGTATTGCAGACAGCCTACAGCTGCAGCTGCCAGACGGCTCTAACAGAGCATACAGGAGGAATCTTTGTTTCAACTGCTACACATGTGCGTTTGCCACTCAAGATCATCACACCAAAACATAAAAGTCGACAAGACGCAGAGTTGAGAACAACACCGCTTCTCACTGAAAGTCTGCTTCCCTCGTTTTTAAGGTACAGCCACAGAAATATGCAAATGGCGTATCCAAGGATATGCTCCGTTTATCTCACTCCCCGACTCTGCCAGGTAACGAATTAGCGAAAGGACGAAACGAAAACGGTCTCTGAAATTCCGGCAACAATCGATAGTTGTTTCAACGTGCCGACCTGTGGCGCGCGTTTGATCCTATTTGATTGGACTGTGGTCATCACGATCAACTGCAATATGCAACCCGACATGAAACATATCGGTGAGAAGCTCTGCGTGAGCACGATGTGAAACTTTTGTCAAACTAAAAATTTCTAAAATTTCGCCCTTCTTTCACTATATTTTTTAACTGCGAGAACTCATTAATACGCAACATGATAATATGTGGCAGAGGCCGTGAAAACGCTTAGCAGTATACTTATTGACAGATATTCATTAATATATAAATAATGAACACGTGCTGATAGACAGTCAGATCGCGATAAAAATCACTGAAATTCAGTAGTTTAACGAAAATTTCGTCTCATGCTCACGGAGAACTTCGCACAGATATGTAATACGGTGATGTTCGAGATGACCATACTGTAATTACGCGGATTCAACCAAACTCGGGCCCAAGGACTGCATGTCGACGACGACTATCGATTGGCGCCGAAAGGCCCGCGCCGAACCGTTCAATTCCAACGAACAAAGAGGGCTCATTGCATACATTTGTAAAGCGTTCTCATCGCCTTCACACTGGTTTTTCCAATGACGTCATTTAATCGGTTGTTTGAGAAACAGAAAAGTCGGAGGAAGTCAGTTCGACATCTGTATGTCATTGTCAGAAGTCCTTGATATTCTTCCAAGCCGTAAATCGAGGAAACAGTACTCGCTGGTGAAACGTCACCTCAGCTG